TAAATTTTGTATTCTGTATGTATTTATCTGATAAATAGAAAAAAAACTAAACCGAAATCTTTTTTCGTCATTGTTTTATCGTTAAAATACCAAAAATTTTTATTCTCAAATATGAGTGCGTCTAAATTTATGAAAACCACTGTATATATATATATATATATATATATATATATATATATATATATATATATATATATATATATATATATATATATATATATATATATATATATATATATATATATATATATATATATATATATATATATATATATATATATATATATATATATATATATATATATATATATATATATATATATATATATATATATATATATATATTTATATATTTATATATATATATATATATGTATATATATATATATATATATATATATATATATATATATATATATATATATATATATATATATATATATATATATGTATATATATATATATATATATATATATATATATATATATATATATATATATATACATATATATATATATATATATATATATATATATATATATACATATATATATATATATATATATATATATATATATATATATATATATATATATATATATATATATGTATATATATATATATATATATTTATTATATATATATATATATATATATATATATATATATATATATATATATATATATATATATATATATATTTATATATATACATGTATATATGTGTATATACAGTATTGGACAAAACATTTGCAACCAACATCAAACAATGCTAAAAGTGTTCCTAATTTTAGGTCTTAAAAATGAAACGAACTATACTACCACAGCAAACAGTTCAGGAGTCTGGAGTCATAGCAAGCCATGATATGAGCAATCAGCTAACAAGTGACAGCACACAGGCAGAATTTTTTTGACAAGTGCCATTTTGCAGCATACAAAACAAGTGCAACTTTTTTGGTTTGTTTCATTTTCTCAAGTCTGGTCTTTTTCAAGGTCACAGAAGTTTTTTAATATACCAATAAAATAGGTTATTCAGCAAGACAATGATCCCAAACACGCTGCAAAAGTAGTCAAGCAGTGGTTTCAAAACAACCATCTATTGGTGATGGACTAGCTGCCTCAATCTCCGGATCTTAACCCTATCGAGAACCTTTGGGAGATCGTTAACTGCAGAGTTATTCATGAATGTGTCCCTAATAAGGATCAACTTTTGAACAAATCCAAAAGGCCTAGGCAGCGATTCCACGAAGTTTCATTGATCACCTGATCGAATCTATGCCTTAAAGATGCAAGGCTGTGATCGACAACAAAGGATTCACCACAAAATATTGATAGCAAAATACAGCTTGGTCAATATTTTGTGGAGTTGCACTTGTTTTGTGCAGAAGAAAATTAACTTTTTTTTAATTCTTCTGATTATTTTATTAGTTTCCGTGTACAAATAATGAACTTTGTGATGAATAAAATTTGAAGAACGTTGTCTCTAAACAGTTACATAGTTGTTTCTCTAAATTGAAAAAATTCATCCCTTTTATACAAAGAAACTAAATTAGCTTCATTTGGTTGCACTGGTTTTGTCCGATACTGTATGTGTATATATATATATATATATATATATATATATATATATATATATATATATATATATATATATATATATATATATATATATATATATATATATATATATATATATATATATATATATATATATATATATATAATATTTCATAAAAATAAATTCAGAATTCTACATGTCTTTTTAAGTCATTTAAATGTCATCAATGTATATATTTTAGATATCGGCGACGTGGAAGAAAATGTTGACGGCAATGCAGAAATATAGTTTCTTATGTATGTTTTTGTGAAATAAAAGTTAAGTAATGTTAGTTAAAATGTTTCTTTACTTATTTAATTTAATCCTTTTTTTATGACTAATTTAACCGCTGTAACACCTTTGTATCAAACAAGTCCTAGCAAACAAAAAGATATCTAAAATGCATCTAATATGCATCTAAAAACTGGTCTAAAAGACGTCTAAATTCACGTCGTTAACGAGACATAAATAGATGTCTATCTTATAGATGTCTCTTAGATGCATTTTATTCGACACAAATAAATGCCTTTGATGCATAAAAGATGTGAAATATACATTTAAAGATATATATTAGATGTATATTAGATGCATAAAAGAGCTATTATTAGCTAAAAAATTATCTATTATCTATCTTTTTTAAACGCGCCTTAGACATCTATTTAAGAGACGTATTTTATACATCTAATATGCATCTGTAAGATATATATATGTTTATATATATATATCTGTAAGATATATCTGTATTATATATATATATCTGTAAGATATATATATGTTATAACATTATATGTTTCGCATCTTTTATGCATCTAAGGTAACTATTTGTGTCGAATAAAATGCATCTAAAAGACGTCTATAAGATAGACGTCTATTTATGTCCCGTTCTAGACCTGAATTTACACATTTTTTAGACCTGTTTTAGATGCATATTAGATGCATTTTAGATATCTTTTTGTTTGCTGGGAACTCTTACTCTGCTTCTACGCAAACGTTGTAACTTCTTGAGCACGTTTTTACATTATTGTACATTATTATACAAGAATATATTAGTATATATATTAAAACAGTATGGATTGTGAATGAACCACACAATTTGGAGCCCACGGAAAATAAATATTGGCATTTGAATACAAAGATTGAAAAGATTTAAACAGATTAAAAGATTAAAGAACAAGAAAAAAGTTAAGTTTTATTTACATTTATTTACTATTTAGTTGTTATTATAAATTATAATACTTAGGAGTATTGTAGTAAGTATCAAGGAGTATTAAGTGAACATTTTGAGCATATCATTGTATTGAACATTTATAAAGTTATTATATTAGCAACCATTAAGATTTAAGTAAAAATACTTAATATTTGTCACTTTAGTAATTATTTACCCAATCAGGAAAGATTTGGGACAGTTAACGTTTTGCAAATAAATATCTGTGAGTTTTATTTTTCAAAAAATGTCAACTATTCAAGGCAAACGTAGAGTTAGAACAGTTAACATAAAACTTTTAAACAAATTATTTGAAAAAATCTTTAGAAATTATTAACAACGCTGACGATGAAAACCAAATTAGTAACCTTAGTGACTTAAAAGACACTTTAAACAAAAAATACAATAGAGTCATCCAATTGGATGAGTAGATAACCTTACTGATTGAAGCTGAGGACGAGTTAGAAAATGAATTAGAATCTTCTACAGAATTTAATCTAGTATTCAAAAGTGAAATTTCTAAAATTAATAAAGAGTTAAAGAAATTCGACATTAAAACTGACTGCAATAGTACATTTAGTAACTTTAAAAACAAGACAGTAAAATTACCTGTTTTAAAATTAGATAATTTTGATGGAGAACCTGAAAAGTAGACATCTTTTATAGAAAATTTTGAATGTGCTATAGATATGAACAATGATCTGTCCGGAATTCAAAATATGACTTATCTTCGAAACTCGCTTAAAGGTTCAGCTTTGTCATCTATTTCAGGTATCAGTTTATCCAAAGAAAACTACAAAATAGCTTTAGACATCCCTAAGGAGCGTTATGAAAATAAGCAGAATATGATATCATCCCACATGAGAAAACTACTGTCATTTGAAAGAGTGCATAGTTTAAATAGAATTGAAAAATTAAGACATTTATTAGATAATATAGAAATACAAATAAGGAGCCTCGAAACTCTTAAAATTACAAGTGAAATGTATGGACCATTACTTGTTCCGATTATACAACAGAAAATACCTGAAGAACTGAGCTTAATTATAAACAGACAACTTGATAAAAACAGTTCATAGGATGTCTTAACCATCATTAACATTTTAAAATCAGAATTACATGCAAGAGAACAAGTCTCATTAAATTTAAATAACAATGTTGATAAAATTTATACAACTGAAACATTTTTTACAAGTAACAATAACTATGAAAAACCAAATTTTAACAGAAACTCCTGTCAATATAATTACAGTAAGAAAGCTAAAGAAAATTCATACTTTGATAGAAATAATCCAACCAATATACCACAATTTATCAAATGTCTTTTTTCTGACAGATCACATAAATCACAATACTGCAAATTTATAACAGACATTTAAAAAAGAAAACGAATAATTAGTGAAAAACATCTGTGTTTTAAATGTTTAGGAAGTGGTCATACATCAAAGAATTGTACATCTCGTATCAAATGTTTTAAATGTGGTAATCAGCATCATATAGCACTTTGTCTAGAAAAAAAGTGAGTGACAAAAAAGTGAACTAACAGCCATTTCAAGTAACAATAATCAGTCCATTTTACTCCAAACTGCTTCCACTGATGTATTTGACATAAATGACAGATTTTATAGTTGCAGAATACTTTTTGACAACTGTTCGCAGCTTAGCTACATATCACCTGATTTGTGTCGCAAATTAAAACTTGAATGTGTAGGAAAAAACAATATTAACATTAAAACATTTGGAAATAATAGCAGTAAAGAAAATCTAGAAAAAGTTGAGTTAAAAATTAAATGCTTATTTGGAAAAATTATAAAAATTAACTGTTATGTAAAAGATGTTTGTGCGCCTCTCAATGGACAATATATAAATCTTGCTAAAAAGAAGTATAGACACTTACACAATTTAAGACTTGCAGATAGTAATTTGCAAAACGGGAGTTTAGGGATTGATGTTTTGATTGGGGCAGATTATCACTGGCTATTTATTGAAAATTCTATTGTTAGGGGAAATTATTTTGATCCAATTGCCATTAAATCTAAGCTAGGTTATTTATTAAGTAGTCCTATTAATGTTAATAACATGTTTAAGAATAAAAGTTACAATTGTTGTGTAAATACAGCTCATGTCATGTTTGTTGAATCAAATTCATCTCCCAAATCATTAATTAATCCATGACATCTGTATGGGGTGTTAAAGAGATGAATGAGTGTAACTATGAGGTCATTGATAGGTTTCGTCACATAATTAAATATGATAATACCCTCAAACGCTATAATGTTAACTTGCCCTTTAAAGAAGATCATCCTCCACTTAGTGATAACTTCGATTTATGTATCAAGCGTTTTAAAGGTCTTTAAAAGAAATTGAGTAAAGATGATTCTTTACTTAAATTATACAATGACATTTTTAAAGAACAATTACAGAACAGCATTATTGAACGAGTTATTGATAAAAACAAATTTGAAAAAGTACAATACCTACCGCACCAACCAGTTCTGAGAAATGACAAAGTTACTTCTAAAGTCAGAATTGTCTTCGATGCAAGCAGTTCTGTTGATGGCCCTTCATTGAATGACTGTCTCTACCCTGGACCATCTTTAACCACATCTTTATATGGAATCCTCTTGCGTTTTCGTGCCCAAAATATTGCCTTTGTGGCAGACATTAAAAAAGCCTTCTTGCAGATTACACTATCTCCTGAAGATCGTGATTACGTCCAATTTTTGTGGCTCGAGAACATTAACTCACTTAATAAAGACAATATATTTAGTTAAAAAATTATTCCATATAGAATTTGCAGAGTTCTGTTTGGCGTTACATCTTCTTCCTTTCTTCTTTCTGCTACACTCATTACTCACGCTGAAAAGTACCTCTCTGATGATCCTATATTTGTTAATAAATTAATGAATTCTTTACATGTCGATGATCTGAACTCAGGAGCTGACTCAATTGAAAATTCGAATCGAACTGCAAACAACTTGAAAACCTAGTTAATGAACAAAATTTTACCTCCTTTAATCTTATTAAAGTATTAGGCTTATTATGGAATAAAAAAGAAGACAACTTAATCGTTGATTTTAGAAACTTGACACACAATGATGACTCGATTCCAACGAAACGTAAAGTTTTTCAGTTTATTGCAAGCATTTATGACCCACTTGGTATAATTAATCCATTTATAGTCATGTGTAAAGTATTCTTTTAAAAACTATGTATCAAAAAACTTAATTAGGACAGGCCTCTTGAGGGAAAAATGTTATTGGTGTGGCAAGCCATTATCAATGACATTCAATCCTCTAAACCCATTATCATTCCTAGGTGGTACAATAATAATTATTCAAATCATGTTGTTGACTTGTTATTGCATGGATTTAGTGATGCCAGTAATATAGCATTTGGTTGTTGTATATACTTGTTGTGTTCCTTTGATGATGAGCACAAAATATGTTCACTTATAACTGCTAAGTCTAGGATTGCCCAAATTAAAAATACCTCTATTCCCCGACTTGAATTAAAGGCAGCCCTATTATTAGCTGAAACTATGTCAACTGTTAAATAAGATTTATACCCTGTACTTAAATTTAAACCAATTGTTTGTTGGTGTGATTCTACTATAGTATTACATTGGATTAATAATATTGATAAAGTTAAGCAGCCATTTTTACAAAAGAGACTTATAAAAATTAGAAAAACATTTGACATTTCGCATTGGCGATATATTGAAACATACAATAACCCTGCTGACATAATATCTAGAGGTAAAAACATAAAAACCCTATCTAGTAATAAAACATGGTTCAACGGACCTGCACTTCTTTATAATGATCAAAAGGACTGGCCAAAATTTGAATTAAGAAATGTAATTGATAAAATCGAAGAAATTACTACTAATTTAGTTTTAAATGAACATTATTTAGACTTAAGTATAATTGACATTACTCGATTTAATAACTATTTGCAATTGTTAAGAGTTGCAGCCTTTGTACTACAATTTATTACTAGCTTAAAACTTAAAAAAGATAAAAAACATTTAAAGTTATCTAATTTAGATTCAATTGAAATAGAAGAAGCATTTAAGACATGGATTATATTCGTTTAAAGAGCAATAACTACTGATAAAAATTTTAAGCAACTGCAACTAGACCTAAACTTAAAAAATATAGATGGAATCATACAATGCATTGGTCGACTACAAAATGCACCAATTACACACGACGCAAAAAACCCAATATTCCTACCTCAAAATACAGAATTTACAAACTTAGTTATTTATCATAATCATTATTTAGTTATGCACAACGGCGTTAAACCAAATTCGAACTCAATTCTGGATACCTAAAGCTCGAAACTACATTAAAAAATTGATTAAAAAATGTCTTATTTGTAAACGCTTCGAAGGACTGCCTTATTCATATCCTTCTCCCCCTCTTTTACCCTTATGTCGTTTAAATAATGATCATGCATTCAAATTTACAGGTGTAGAATATGCAGGACCATTATACATTAAAAATATTTATGAGAGAAATAATTTAAATAAAGTTTGGATATTTTTATTTACATGTGCTACTACTACACGTGCTTTATTTTTAGATCTTGTTCCGGACACTTCTGCTGAATCATGCATAAGAAGTTTTCGGAGATTTTTTGCGAAATGTGGCACACCTTCCGAAATCCTCTCAGACAACGGATCACAATTCACCTCCAATCTAACTCAAAACATTACTTCATCTCTCGGTATCACGTGGCATTTCAAAATCCCCGCTGCTCCGTTGCGGAGAAGGTTCTTTGAACGACTAGTTGGATCCTCTAAACGCTGCCTTCACAAAATAACGCATAAAGATCAGCTTTCATACAAAGAACTGTTAACATTTCTTGCTGAAGTAGAATCAATATTGAACAATCGACCAATCACGTTTATGTATGAATCACCTGGAGACTACCACTTACAACCAATCATTTAATATATGGAAGATCAACAAACTTTAAAGCTATTAACGACAAAACTTATGAATTAAACTGCCAAAGTTAGATACATTATGAATGGAAAAACAATGTACATTCAAAGACCTGTAAATAAATTGTATTTATTAGAAGCATTAGACGCCCCTATTGAAACAATGAAGATTAATTCATCTGCGATGAAGAAGGACATAAAACATTTCGTTATAAATTAATTGGGGGCGGGAATGTCGCGCTCACTAGCGCGGCAACGACTTCTTGTTATTTGTGTTATATTGTCAGCGGTTAATCCCGCGCTTTCTCTCGAACTCGTACTCTGCTTCTACGCAAATGTTGTAACTTCTTGAGCACGTTTTTACATTATTGTACATTATTATACGAGAATATATTAGTATATATATATTAAAACAGTATGGTTTGTGAATGAACCACACAGGGAGTTGGGGGACAAACAACTAACGCTCTAGTCACTCTGCGTGTAGAACATATGAAACAAAGAACAAATATTTGAGACTGTTGAAGTCTACAAGTGTGATGATGTAATGCATTAGTCTAATCTGTTTGGTTGTCTGGCATGGTCTCGTTATGCTATCGTCCAGTTTCAAATCGGGTGAATAGAAAGCTAAACACACATTCACTTTTTGCTCTTATGGGCTAGCGCATAAGACCTACAAAATGGATTTCAATTGATATAATGCACACATTAGTCACCATAGGCCACAAGCCATCACTCTTAACCAAAAGAGCTACGACCCCGTACTGGTGTGGAATGATGTGCTATGAAGTGAGATTTTAAATCCGAGCACATAGTCAGCGAGCGCTGATCCGACGAGCATTGTGGATCTTCCGAGTAAACGTGTGCGTTAGTGTCAGCGTTGTCATTAGGTTATTGAACGACGTAACCACATCCATTAGAATAGCCTAATGTCCGTTTTGTCGTTGTGGTGTACATTGGAAGAAGTCGGGAACAAAGAATATATTTAATTGTTAATACGACACAATGATCGCAATTATGAAATTATATTAGCTTTAAAATAAATTTTCATATTATACTATAACAGTTTGATAAATTTAAAACAAGCTCTGTAAAAAAATTTTAATACAATTTGAAAGCGTATAGAAAGCAACAACAATTACCTCCAGTAATTATTGTTATTGTAGAGAATTCACCTAAAAGTACAGAAAATATTTGCTAAAATTTTAATTATGGCCTTTGAAAAAGCTTTTTTTATAACGTGTATTATATCTATACGTAGTTTGAATTTTGGATTTTTATAAAAAATAATACATTTAGATTTTTATAAACAATAATGCATTTGGATTCTTATAAAAAATAATATTTCTATTTTATATTATGTAAATTATACTGTTTTTTAAGGCAACAAAACAAATAAAACATTATTACGAACTTTATAGGTTAAAAGTAAACATATAGTTATTTATTAATATACTATTATTCATTAATAAATCTACACATATGTGTTTTGGTCATAGGTTGTTTCGTCAAGATATAACGACTACAGCACACTACAGCAAGATTTCATAAAAGTTATTTCTAAATTCACATTTCAGACCGTTCTTTATTAGCTCTTTGAAAGTGAAGTGCAAGTAAACGATGCCTATTGGTTTCTACTCTTAGACTCTAAATTAGAAAGTTTGCAAGTCTATATTGAAATCTAAATAAAGTCAAGATATATAGATAAAATGTAACAGTACCAATTAATTACCAGATTAATAAATCATTATCAATTTCTTTTAGTCAAAAGTAATCCTGTACCCAGTAAGTATTTATTGCCGTATTTTTCACGTCAAAGTTCAGACAGTGATTAATTAATCTGATTTCAACCATCTAAACGTCGATAAATGACCAAGTATTGTCGTTATTTTTAAAGTTAGTATTCAACCTGTTCTCTACGTTAAAATTAGTCATTATTTTTGGATTATTTAACTGACGTTGTTTTAAGATATTTTGAACTTCAAAAGATTTATGTCACTTGCTCAAAAATTTTTGTAGAATGTTTAATATTTTAAACTGTTTAAAACTTAAGTTTGACCGGGAGTTAAATAAAATGGAAAATCATGGCTAGCAATTATAGCAAAAGTTTGATTGTCATATTTAAAATAACATTAAAGGTAACTTAAAGGTAACCCCTCCCCCCCCCAAATAAAAAAAAAAACAAAAAAACAACCTGTCATTAGGGCCCTAAAATACTAAAAATATTTCCACTCGATAAATCAAAAAAGTTTAAATGCTCCTTTGATAACTAAGGGGTTTAAATATTTAAACCCTTCGATAACTAAAGACTTTAAAAAACATCTAAAATCAAACAAAAGTTTTATATAAAGTACCTAAAAACAAAAACACTTTAAAATGAAAAATTATAGAAAGATTACAAATTACATTTTTTATATAAAAATCAGTTTGGTTTTAAATGAAACAGTTCTACCGAGCACGCAATTATCCAATCCGTCCGCGAGATCTCTAACTCTTTTAAAATATTACACTTTTTTTAGATATATCAAAAGCATTTAATACAGTAAATAATTGCATTTTGATTCATAAACTAAAATATTATGGAGTGAATGATGTAACTTTTAAATAGTTAAAATGGTATTTAACAAACTGAAAATAATTCGTTTCTTTCAACAACCCTTTTCAAAAAAATTGTTTAGATATTTCAAGTAGTGTTCCGCAAGGATCAATTTTGGGATCATTCTTTTTTTTTTCTGCATTATTGATTTGCATAAAGCTTCTAATCTTTTAATTATAATGTTTGATGATACTAATTCATTTTTATCTAATAGCATTATTAATAATCTCTTTACTACTATTAATGAAGAACTCAAAAATAATTCTAGCTGGCTCAAATGCAATCAACTTACCCTAAATATTAACAAGACAATAGGAATTCTTATTTATTCGATATATAAAAAACGTTATTTACCCCAAGCTCTATCTGATATTTTTATAGACCAAATTAAAATAAAAAGAGATTGCTTTACAAAATTTTTAGTTGTATTCCTTGATGAGAACATCACATGGAAACAACATATTGACTATGTTGGTTCTAAAATTTCCAAAAATATTAAAATTCCTTAGTCAGAATTTATATCAAAAAAAAAAGTTTTATGCAATCATTATTATGCATTTATTCATAGTTATATGAGTTATACAGATATTGCTTGGATAAGTACTGAAAAAATAAGCTACAATCTCTCTATCGCCGTCAGAAACGTACAGAGACACAAGCAAAACCAATGCAATGAGTCAAGAAGATCTAGCATTCAACATACTAAACTGGAAACAATGTATTATAAACACATCTACGCCAGCCTAAGAGATAAGGAAGGGGTGTGTAGCTGGTCTACAAATAAAATCTGTTTACCTCTTAAGTCTTTGCGTAGGAGGCCTTTTAAAGAACAGTGGCCGTATGCGTTTTACATCTGCCCCAGATGAGTATTTTTATCGAGACACCATCTCTAGCTTTTACTCAACCAAGAGGCCCAAGGCAAGTGAAGTTTGTAGTTAGAGTTGGCATCTCCTAGCCTTTTAACTGATTTTAAAGCTTTATCAATAATTAGTTTTTTTTTAAATGACTCAATTGTTCAACTTACCGGTCTATCTCTTTTTTATTTTTCAAATTATGTTCTTTAGTTTCCATTGTACACTAGTACACTAGCTTGATTGGAGTGCTGTATTTTTCCACAAAAAAAGATTATTAACTGCAAATAATCTAAGAGGTATCACTGTTTTTTTGAATAAGGATTAATCCGATTTAACATCTAGACTATCAAACTTTTGTATGCAGCTTGACCAGAACTACCATTAAATCCGTAACTAAAGATAATTTCATAAATAAATTTATTGTCATTACCCAATTCAATTGCACCTAACATTACTTTTAGCTGCAAAGATACTATTTGTTTCGTAGTGTAGTCTAGAAGGTTTTGAAGAGGCACTATAGCGGAATATCACTCTTATTAGAAATAATAGAATTTTGATTTTATGTCAAGTTTTATATACTTTTAAAAAAGATGTTTCACAAACAATTAAAGATGCAAATCTAATCTAGATGAAGGTTGACAAATTTTCCGAAAAATCCTCTAATCCCAAATGTTTTACAACCAGTAATAAACTTATAGTTTAGTAATAAGTAGCTTTTAAACATCCGTTCGGTTTTTTTTATTGCAATGAAAGATAATTTAAATTGATATTATAATAGATATTTCGTCATTAATATTACAGAAAAGATTAAAGAAGTGACCGCAAATATAAATAGTTAATTAGTATGTTCATCGATAAAAGCAACACTTTGTCATATATCTACCAAATTAAGATCACACTTTGAATTATGATTGATTAAGCACGTTAATAAGATTATTTCTAACTAGGTAATTTATAACACAATTATGTTTTGGGCATTTTGTTCATCAAATTTCAAATGCTAATACATCTTGTACTATATTAATATATGCTTTTAATTTAATATTTCAGATGACGAAATTTTAACTTTTTTTTTAATAGGTGGAGGGTGGGAAGGATGATTAGATGCCACATCTAATTCAGTGTATGCACCTCTGTATAATAAGTCACCTCTGTCTATGTTTTGATTACAGTTTCTTCAATAAATCCATATAAAAAAAATTTGTTACTTAAAACATTTTTATAGGTTTCTTAAAATTTTTTATAGGTAAAATAGTTACTTTCAAATTTTATTTTTTTTCACCTTTAAAATATTGTATTAAAAACCATAACAATGATAAAAAGCATTCTAGTTTATAATTCGTTAAAAAAATTTCATTTAACATTTAACATATATATATATATATATATATATATATATATATATATATATATATATATATATATATATATATATATATATATATATATATATATATATATATATATATATATATATATATATATATATATATCGCGTTAAGCTAATGCATTAAGCACTTTTTTATTTAAAACAAGGCCTGTATGTATATATATATATATATATATATATATATATATATATATATATATATATATATATATATATATATATATATATACATATATATATATATATATATATATATATATATATATATATATATATATATATATATATATATATATATATATATATATATATATATATATATATATATATACATATATATATATATATATATATATATATATATATATATATATATATATATATATATATGTATATATATATATATATATATATATATATATATATATATATATATATATATATATATATATATATATATATATATATATACATACAGGCCTTGTTTTAAATAAAAAAGTGCTTAATGCATTAGCTTAACGCGATTTTGACGTCATAAAATTATCTTTATTTTTTTTTATAGAAGTTAAGTGTTTTAACTACCGGGTAATTCCACATCAAATCACCCAAATTTTTCAAGATTTTGAACCATAGGTCTCATATTTTCTTTAAACTTCTTTAGCTGTTGCATTTCATATAGAAAAGTTCACATGCAAAATTTTAGCCAAAAATGTTCAGCCGTTCACAAGATATCAAGGTTTTAATATAGACCTGGTTTCCCAAAATGACCTGGTTTCTGTGTCATTTTAAAAAAACGTTTGCTCTAATAAAATGAAAAATAATGAAAATAAAAATATGAAAATTAGCATTTATAATGCTTTTCTAATGCAGAATTCAAAAAATGCACTTAGAATGCTGAAATATGAGCAGAACATGCTTTAAAATTAAAAACACACCTAATTTATATATTCAAACTTAGGGGTCATATATCTCAAAACACCCCCGTCTAGATTTTTTTTTTTTTGGTTTTAATATTTTTAGCTACTTATTATCTTACTAGGCACAAAAAACCTAACTGGAAAAACAACTAAAACATATAGAACCATAGTTTCCAAGATACACCACTTTTATGGGTGCCCATAGCAATTTTCTAACGAGGGTGAGGGGTGAGGGAACAACAAAATATTTTTAGTGATGTTCTAATTTAGTTAAATTTACCAAGAATACTTAAAAAAAAGCATATTGCAAAAGACATGGTGAAAACAACTTTTTTTTATTACAGTTAGAGGGAAGGAGAATAGTGTTTCAATAACACCTGGCATTGCCATATCTCTGTCATTTAAACTATTTAGCCAATAAAACATATCAAACTACTTTGTATGAACAGTAGTTACTTAGTAGTGATAAGTTGTAGATGAGTTAAAAAATAGAAAGTAGGATTAAATCCACTGAGACATCATTGTTAACTCTTATCAAGCTCCAATTATCCTACAGCCAAAGATTTGGAAATATCTAATACTATATCATTATTTAATATATTTAAAACTAGAGGTTTTTTTTTTACTGAAAACTAAGTAGGAAAGATCTTTTTTTTTTTGTATCCTTCGAATTGCTTTTTTCTTACTGCAAAAGCATTCAATACACTTCATTGCAAACTAATTAAAAAATTAAAAGGGTATGGCATCACTTAAAAGCTGCTAAAAATCTTCCTAAAGATAGTACATGTGTAGCAAATTATAGAATTCTGTAAAGAATTAATTTTGGTTAATAGACTTTTTATATATTTAAGGAAGTCTTAATTATATGATAACTTAATTATATGAACTTAACAACTGAAAAAACATCCGGTTTTGTTTTTATATAAAAACATTTTATAAAAAATAATTGTTATGTTAATATGATATTTTTTTTAATTTTGACAACTAAAGTTTGTAAAAGTTTATTAAAAATTAGTTTATAAAAGTTTAGTTTATAAAAGTTCAGATATAGAACAACATTTATTGGTAAGATTATATTTAAATTTTAAAAAATTAATAATTTAAATAATATAATTATTTAAAAACTTCTTTTTTTACAACATTTATTAATATTAATAATAATAATATTAAGAACAACATTTATTAAAAATTATATTTATTAGAAAACTTTTTTTACATACAATTAAGTAGAAGAATTTTATTTTTATTTTTAGGAAATACTTTCATACTAAATAATTTATCTTATTAAGATGTGTTCTATTGGGTTAATGACATCAGATGCTTGCGAAGGCCAACAAGATGTTATTGAAACTTTAAGCAATGAAGAAAAAATAATTATATCTTTACGCTGTAATATTGAATTATCAAACTTAGAAATATTATGTGAAAGACATAATACAAAATATTTGAAAATGTATCCTATATGGCAGAAAGCTTGTTGTGATCCATTCAATAGACATACAAAGAAAATCACAAGTATGTAGCTGTAAAATTTAAATATTTCATTAATTTATGTTTTTCAAAAAATAAACGAAAGTTTTGAACTAATGTGCAGACATACTTTATACAATTCAATTACTTTTAGAAAATCTTGGCGTAGTTACAATAAAAGAGTCACAAGTCATGATGAGAAATTGTTTGAATATTCCTCCTGGGAAGAAACTTTGCAAACCTTGTAAACAAAAGATTGCCAGAAAAAAAGAACTTACAGAAGAGGAGCAAAGTAAGAGTGAACAAGATGAGGATTTTCTAATATCACCATGCAAAAAAATAAGACAGGAGATCAATAAAGAACTCAAAAATTTTAGTTTATCTCCTCTAAAATCTCATTCAAAATCATTAATACATATACTGTCAGAAGGAAAGCAAAAAGTTGCATGCATCAACGAAATGGCGTATAACGCTACTAGAAAAATTGAAACTCAATTTTCCTCAAAACTATGTTATGAAACCAATGGGATGAAAAAGAAGGCTGCAAACTTTGATGAAATTATGAGCTTGGTAAAAGAAAAAATTCTATGTTCTGACAAACGAACTATTGTTCAACTTCTAACACTGGCACCCCCAAGTTGGTCAATATTAGAAGTACAAAATAACTTTTCGGTTACAGAATACCAGGCCAAGATGGCTAGAAAAATTTTTAATAAAAAAGGATTGTTAGGTATCTCTCCATTGTATAAGGGTAAAGTCTTACATAAAGAAATAGAAGATTCAGTTAAATTGTTTTATGACTCAAGTGATTTATGTCGAACTATGCCTGGAAAAAAAGATTATGTTAGCATTCAATAGAACGTCCACAAACAAAAAAAACTGCTTTTGTGTAATTTAAAGGAACTATATGTATTATACAAAGAAAACAATCCAGAAATACAAATAAGTTACTCAAAATTTGCTTCACTTAGACCAAAGTGGTGCATTTTGCCAGGTGCAAGTGGTACACATTCTGTTTGTGTTTGTTCTTATCACCAAAATGATATTTTGCTAGTGGATTCCTTAAATATTGAACTAACGTATAAGGATTTACTTTTGAAAACTGTTTGCTCAGTAGAAAAAAAGAATGCATGCTTGCACAGTGTGATAATTGTCCTGGTAAAGAACTGCTCACCATGTATTTGTATGAGATTTTTGGAGAATACGAAGATGATTTTGAGATACACTACAAACAATGGCAAACTACTGATCGTGCAACACTATTGAGTTTAACAACAGATGTTCCAACGTTTATTGAACTATTGGTATCTTGTTTTGAAAAGCTACAATCTCATTCTTATATTGCCAAATCTCAATCACAATACCTTAATCAACTAAAAGAAAATATGGATCAATCAAACATTATCATTCTTGGCGACTTTGCTGAAATTTATGCTTTTGTAGTCCAAGATGAAATACAGAGCTATCACTGGAACACCCAACAATGTTCTTTACATCCATTAGTGATATACTATAAAGAAGAAAATGGTGTAGTGAAACATATTTCTTACTGTTTTATATCAGACGACATTACACACGATGTAACTTATGTATACAAGATATTTCAACTAATTATACCAATATTAAAAACAAAATTTCTTGATTTATCCAAATTGCATTTATTCACTGATGGTTGTGCAGGACAGTACAAAAATTGTAAAAGCTTTTACAATCTATGCCAACTAGAGACAGAATTTTCCCTCAAAATTGAATGAAACTTTTTTGCCACGTCCCACGGAAAGTCACCATGCGATGGAATTGGTGGTACTGTAAAAAGGTTAACAGCACAAGAAAGTTTAAAACGACCATACAGAAACCAAATTCTCACATCAGAGGCTATGTATGAATTTTGTGTTGAGAAAATTAAGGCTGTTAACTTTATTTACATAAAGGGATTGGACTTACAATTGCAACGTGAAAAGCAAAAAGAAAGGTACACTGATGTAACAACTCTACTAGGTACTCGTAGCTTTCATCAATTTATACATCTTGGAGATAATAGGGTTGGGGCGAAGAGATGTAGTACAGACACTAAATATACAATAATTCACAATCTTAAAAAGAAACATATATTTGAACCTGATACTGTCACTTTAGGAGGTTATGTTGCGGTAGTTTATGACGATAAGTGGTGGATCGGCATTGTAACTGAAATCAACCTAGAAGAAGTTGATGCTGAAGTTAAGTTTCTCCACCCAAGAGGTCCATCAATCTATTTTAACTGGCCTGAAAGAGACGACCACTGTTTTATTCCTAACATCAATATATTGAAAAAACTATCTGTTCCACAAGCTTGCTCTAGTTCTGGTAGAAACTATGTGTTTGAAAATGTTGAAATAGAAGAAGTGCAAGTAAAATGGCAACAATATTGTGAACTATTACAAATACAGTCAAAATAACTTGCACATTCAATACCTTTAAAAATCTTGTATATTTAAGTAACTTTGTAAATTAGGAATAATTTATTTTAATTGAATTTATAAATATTTTTTAGGAATTTCTTAAAAAAGTTATACATCTTTAAAATTAAAGTTCTATATGTTTCAGTTTTTTTTCCAGTTAGATTTTTTGTGCCTAGTAAGATTATAACTAGCTTAAAATATTGAAAGCAAAAAAAAAAAAAATTTGACGGGGGTGTTTTGAGATATTGGGCCCTAAAGTTAGATTATATAAACTAGTTGATTTATTAATTTTTAAGGATGTTCCTCTAACATTTCAGCATTTTAAGTACATTTATTGAATTCCGCATTAAAAAACCATTATAAATATATATTTTTATATTTTTGCCATTTTTATTTCTTATTTTATTGAGGAAAACAACTTTTCAGAATGTTATGAAAACCGGGTCATTTTGAGAAACCAGGTCCAAATTAAATTTGCTGTATCTTGTCAACCGCTTGACATTTTTAGCTGAAATTTTGCATGCAATATTTTTTTATAAATAGGAATCATGTGTCAAAATATAAAACAAAAAGAAGACATATGGTTCAAGGGAGTGGGTGATTTGATGTGGAATTACCCTACCGCAATAAATAAATAACCGCAAACTAGTTCAATTTAACAATTAACTCAAATATAAACTATAAACGTTTTAAATATAAATTTATTATGAGAATTTTGTAATGTTTTCAATTGTTATTTTATTATTAATTTTAGTTCAATATTATTTAGTAATATATATATATATATATATATATATATATATATATATATATATATATATATATATATATATATATATATATATATATATATATATATATATATATATATATATATATTAATTATTTCTGAAATTTGTTTTTGAATAATTGTTTTTAATCGTATTTGAATAAAAAAATAACAATGATTTTTTTTATTTTTAAAAATTTCTAGAGTAAACAAAAAATATTAACATTGATAAACACAAACCCATGTTAATTATTTAAACAACGATTTTGTTTTGACTAGCAAAGAAAAGTTTAAGTTTTTAAATATTTTTAAAATTTTTAAAAGCGTTTCAACTTGCGTTTTATAAAAATATAAAAAAGTTTAGTCTGCTTTGAGCATATTTTTGATACGTAGTTTAGAACGCAATCGCTAGGAATTTAATTCATAAATTTTTTATGTTAATGTAAAAATTTTTAACTTTTTAAACAAATCACAAAGAGCTATAGAGAAAAATCGTTTTCAACGATTAAATCTTTTTTTTTTTTTAATTTTAGGAAATTAAAAAAAAAATTAAATTAAATATAAAAGACTTAATTATGCAAACTCTTTTGTTAATTATTCTTAAAACAAAAAAACAAATACTACTACGCCAAACTTTAATCGTGCAAACTTAAAAAAAAATCAACTGAAATAATTTAAGTATATTTAATAATTTGAATCGTATCTGTTTATAATAAACTTTCGTAAAAGTTTGTTTATTAAAAATTAAGTTCCTTAACTTATAACCAAACTCAAAAGTATTTTCATTCTACGTATAATTACAAAACTCTTTTTTTTTTCGTTTGTAAGCAATTTAACTTAATAAAAAAAAAAAAGAATAAGTATGAGGTAATCTTTGTTAAGAATAAATTTAATTTATTTATTGAACAATATTTTTATTTTTAATTATATATCAACTTAATTAAAATATAGTAACATGTTAAAATATTTTAACATGACTTGTATTATTTATAAACCGTTGGGCAGTTGCCCATACGGCACTATTGCTTTTGGATATTATTTTATTTTGATGAAGATCACATAACTTACATTTGATTTTAATAACGTAAGTCTTCTCTTTTTCTGTGATCATCGCATCGGCAAAGCATCAGCAAAGTCCCAAGATTTAAAAGTTTTTAAAGTAAATCTTATGTCCTTCAAAATACAATCAATATTCAAACTTTAAACAATTTAGAAATAATAGAATTATACAAGGTTTTTATATACTAGTTTGTTTTGTTTTATAAAGAAAAATACGTATTCATTAGTAAAAAATGGAGACTCATTAAACTAAAACGTGCCTTAGTATTTATTTAACGGAACCTGTAATGTGCGCGTGCATAATAAAACCTCCGTTATATAAATATATTCAACGTAATATTAGTGTCATCAGCGGATGTTGTAGTCTACTCATGATTTCTTTACCTTGTAATATAACTTGATTTATGAAAAAAAAAAATTATTGAATCGCACGCAGAAGAATTTTAACAAATTGTCTTCATTCAAGTATTGCGAGTAACAGGTAATTTTTTTTTTCTGTGCCGACCCCCTCCCTCCGCATAACTTAAACTATATACCTTTAACTAATAAGACAAGCAAAGACATTTTTTTTAACATCTCGAAAAAATGTCTTGATATTTTTGTTATCATGATAACAAAAATATTAAGACATTTTTTGAGATTTAATAAAAAAAATGTCAATTCTTAAATTACAAATTTTTTTGCAAATGTTTTTTATTATAAATTCAGTAAAAAATTCATAAAAAATCTATATTACAAAAAACTTTTATATTCTGTATTAATAAATATGGAATATAGATTTTTTAAAAGTTTTTTATTAAAAACATTGCAAAAAACTTGTAGTTAAGGATTGACAAACAATTTTTCATGTTGCGAAATATTTGGATAAAAAGTTTAGCGTCAAATTAATTCCTATAAAAAGGAAAGATATATCGCGATGAAAAGTTACAACAATTATTTTTAAAGTAAATTATTTTTTTTAATAAATATCTTTACATATCGTTATTTAAAAGTTAATGTGGTTTTTTTGAAAATTAATTACTACTTTTATGTTACCGCTAATTTAAAAGTTAAAAAATGATAAAAAGTAGCTTAACCAAAACGCGTATCGTAATCGTAACGCGTACGTAAATCGCTCTAGGCGTAACGCTTTAAAACAAGGCCTGTATATATATATATATATATATATATATATATATATATATATATATATATATAATATATATATATATATATATATATATATATATATATATATATATATATATATATATATATATATATATATATATATATATATGTGTGTTAAATGAAAATATATGTATATATGCATGTATGTATGAATCTGGGTATGTGTATACGTGTGTGTATATATATGTGTGTGCGTTTGTATGTTTATGTACACATTCATAAGCTTTTATACTAGAAAAGTAGCATTATGCAGATTTATTACAGAAGAGCTTTAGTAAAGACGAAGAAAGAACATGAAATTACATTACAAGATTTTGTTAAAAAAAAGATCAATATTAGTCAATACAATGAAGATCAATACAATAAAACGAAAAAAAGTAACAACCTAATTGTTTATACTTTATAGTTAACCTAATACTTAGAAAAAAACGGCATGGAACTTAGGAGAAATCAGTCAAAAATGTAAAAAAGGAATGGAAAAACTTAATTGAAGTATGAAATAGTTAAATTATTCATTGAATGAATATTACTCGACCATTTTAATTTAGAGAAATTGAAAATTATGTGAAAATCACAGACAAAAATTGCGACAGTCGTTTGAAAGGCTATGTAACTTC